TTTTTCTTTTTGCTTATGTGGTGCTGAGGAATTGAACCCAGGGCCTCAGGCATGCAAGGCAAGCGCTCTACCACTGAGCCACCTTCCCAGTCCTACATTTCTCTTTTGGACTGTATCATTCCTTCCTTCACTTTTCCCCAGTTTCTCCCTCCTATTTCCCTAAGGGTTTTTATAGATTATCTGCCTATATTTTCCAATGCTTTTGCTAAGAATACTGTAATATTTTTAAATTAACTATTTAAGAGTATGAAGAAGGGAAACATCTTTATAATCAGTTCTTAATAAATTATTTTAGGATTAATTACCTACCTATTTTGACTCTCCCCCTTTCAGGACCTTCTCCCATTACTAGGATATTTGCTGGTTTCTAGAAATAAAAATAGAGCATTCAAATTACTATGCTTATTCTTTTGACATGCTCTAAATGGAAAACCTTATAATTGAAAATATCATTTCTATATTTTCATCAAAACTAAACTAATCAAATATTAAGTACCCTTTACATAGTTGAAGCACTTGACATACACTTGAAAGTTAGCACTAATTTTATATAAATACATTTGCCATGGAAACATACCTTGTTTTCAAAACTATACCACCCAAATACTTACAAAGTGATTAAATCTATCATTTCTATTCACCATATACAAAAACTAGTAATGATATTTTAAAACCTGCACAAACTATATAAATTGCTTATTGACCCAACAAAGAATTTATGTATTCAGGGAAAGAAAAGTTGGTAGAGCTAAAAATCAAACATAGACAAAATAATTGTGTTCACTTAAATAAGTCAAATGACAAACAAAAACATGTAAATCAAATGGAATATTCCTTGCTAAATATTTTTAAACTACCACTGGAAAACATGATCAACATTCAACAGACACCACTGACATTCATATCAGCAATAATACATGCAAAAGTAAGAAACTCCAAATATAATTTTAAGATGTAGGGAAACAAAAGCAAAAGTTGATACAGATTTTATAAAGAAAAAGTATATGCTGCAAATCTGTTATCTCTACTTTTTCTCTCCTCTCTTGCTGGTCCTGGGGCTCTAACTCTGGCCGTAAGAGCGTCCCTAAGCTTTTTTTGCTTAAGGCTAAAGCTCTACCACTTGAGCCACAGCTTCACTTCTGGCATTTTGTGAGTAACTTATTAGTGATAAGAGTCTCAAGGACTTTCCTGCCCTGGCTGGCTTCAAACCCTAATCCTCAGATCACAGCCTCCTGAGTAGGTAGGATTACAAGGCAAGAGCCCCCAACTCCAAGCTTATCTGTCATCTTTTAATTCTTCCCCATCTGCAGATATTTGTAAACAAATGTTGATGATACGATTAGGGGTGAGGGGAAGGAAATAAATCACCTAACACTCCCGCCTCCCCACCCCTTCCTGGGGCTGAACTCAGGGGCCTGGGCTCGGTCCCTGAGCCTTTCTAAGCTAAAGGCTAGAGCTCTACCACTTAAGCCACAGAGCCACTTCAGTTTTTTCTGTTTATGTGATACTAAGGAATTGAACCCAGGGCTTCATGTATGCTAGGCATGCACTCTACCACTAAGCCACATTCCCAGCCAATATGTCACCTTTGTAAATACTTTGGAAGGAAAAATCATGTGTTTTTAATTTATTGGGCTCATCCATTAAATCAGTAAAGGTTTTTAGTATTTCCTAGATAGAAGGTTATCAATACAAAGCATTAAAAGAACGACAAATTGTGGTAAACTAAAGCTTCTAATCTCCAGATACTATTTAGAAGGTTGTATACTATTAGAAGCTAGTTATACAAAGGTCTGAGGTATGCAATTAGAGACTAAATTGGAGTACTTTTACTTTTTTATCTCTGTTTTTTTTTAATTGAAAACAGTAATACTGAGCAGAATCCAGCATAGCTGAGTAGAAGACCAGGGCATTGCAAAAGTTAACAAGCCAGGTGCTACACAAGCCAGGTGCTACACAAACCAGTAGCTAGAATATAGCCTGCTATTCAGGAGTCTGAGATCTGGTAGGTCAAGGCCCAAATTCAGCCCAGGTAAAAAGTTTGTGAGATTTCATCTCCAAAAATAACCAACAAAAAGTCAGGTTGTAGGTATGACTCAAGGAGTAGGGCATAAACTGACCAAGTAAAGTCAAACAAGTACAAGACCCAGAGTCCAGACCTCAGTATTCCCTTCTCCACCCCAAAAGATAATGAACAAGTATGCTTAGAATACAATTAAGAAGTCTGACTTGACAGGAAGGAAAAGGTTCACAATGGGGGTGGTAGATACATTCTTTAAATGCTGGATGACGTAATCTGACTCTATATTATAGTCAGTGAGATTACTCAAAAGAGGAAGTATGGAAAAATTACATTAAGTGAAGTAAGCCAAGCCCAAAGAAATTTAGGTCCCATGGTTTCCCTTATTTGCAATAACTAGTATATGTCTGGGACGAGCAGATATGACCAGATAAGATGATGTTAAGCGAAATGAACCCCAAGATAGGGACACAAGTGGTTTTTTTCTTTCTTGCTATTGTTTCTAATGCATTTATAATGTACCATGTGGATTTTTTTTTTGTTGCTTTGTATCTTCCTCCCCTAGGGTATAATCCATTTTCACTGTATTTGATGTCGGTCTAATTTGTGGAGGGGAAGGGAAAAAACAAATTGTTTAAATAGGGATACAGGTGGACCTATTGCAACAATGAGATGTACAAGACACTAGGTTGAAAAATGAACTTTACAATTTAGGCTGGGGGGTGGGGGAGGTGTAGTTGTGGAAGTGGGAGGGAAGCGATGGTAGGGGAAAAACAAAGCAGGAGGCAATGCTTGATAAGAAATGTACTCATTACCTTGCTCGTGTAACTGTAACCCCTCTCTACAGTATTTTAACAATTAAAAATATATTTTAAAAAAGAGGAAGTAAACTGGTAGCAGAACTGAGTATGAGGTGATAAGGGAACTGAAGGATTTGAAGCTAAGAATACTTTAGAATGAAAAATTTACAGAATGTTGTGACTGGTTCCAGTCAAAAGATTAAGAAAATAGAGTGATAAAGTTTTCATCAAGATCTTGAATTTATGTAACTTGAAGAATAATGCCTTTTATGGAAATAGGAGTTATGAGAGCTACTAGGGAAAACAAGAAGAAGGAGATGACACTGAATAGGAATAGGAGATCTGCATTTGAAAGTTATTGTCACTAAACTATGAAAACTAAAAACACAGGAAAGGACTAATCTGTCGCAACAGGACAAGCAAAATAGCATCAGACAAAACTGAATTTTCAAAATTCAAGTTTGACAACTACTTATCGAAGATTCATTTAATATAAAATGCTATATGGCAGCCAGTGGCTCATGTCTATAATTCTAGCAACTAAGGAGGCTGAGATCTGAGAATCACAAATTCAGAGCCATAAATCTCATAAATATATAAGATTCTTATCTCCAAATAACCATCAAAAAGTGGAGGTATGACTCAAGTGGTAGGGTGCCAGTTGTGAGCAAAAAAACAGAACAAGACCAAGAGGACTTGAATTAAAGCCCTAGTTCTAACATGAAACCAAACCAAACAACAACCACCAAAAAAACCACAGAACTGAAGATTTTCAAGAGAAAAATGAAGTCCTTGACTTCAAAAAACTTAAATCTACAATAGATCTAAGTTGTTTTAGAATAGAAGACATTATGAAAAGTACTAAAGTAAAAAAAAAAACAAGAATTGCTAAGAGACTATGGTGTTTTTCAGTGAATATGAGGATAGTCTTCAGGAGGATAATTCTGGATAATTTCTTTTTGTCAGTCATGGGGCTTGAACTATGGGCCTGGGCGCTATCTCTTAGCTCTTTGGTTCAAGGTTAGGCTCTATCATTTGAACCACAGCGCCACTTCCGGTTTTCTGGTGGTAACTGAAGATAAGAGTTTCACAGACTTTCCTGCCTGGGCTGGTTTTGAACTGAGATCCTCAGATCTCAGCCTCCTGGGTAGCTAGGGTTACAGGTGTGAGCGCATTTCTGGATAATAATTTTTTTTTTCCTTGTAGGTTTTTGGGGCTGAACTCTGGACTTGGGCGCTGTCCCTCAGCTCTTCAGCTCAGGCTAGCCCCTACCACTTGAGCCACAATGCCACTTCCAGATTTTTCTGCTTATGTGGTGCTGAGGAATCGAACCCAGGGCCTCATGCATGCAAGGCAAGCACTCTACCACTGAGCCAACTTCCCAGCCCCCTGGATAATTTTTATAAAGATGACCACACTGCATCAAACCCAAAACCTACTCATATGCTATTAACAAGAGGCCACCTAAATGTAAGGACCATAACACAAAAGGAAAAGTTATTAACAGATATACAGGTGACCTAAAGGATAAAATTACCAAAGACAAGAATTTGCATTGTTTCATTACCTTTCTCTCTTACCCATTTCTTTTAAATAATTCTATAATAAATAGGTGGAAGGAAAAATGAAGGGAGGAAGGGAGAAGATTTTTTTTTTGGGGGGGGGTCCAATTGTGGGGCCTGAACTCTGGGCCTGGGCACTGTCCCTCAGCTCTTCAGCTCAAGGCTAGCACTCTACCACTTGAGCCATAGCACCACTTCCGGCTTTTTTCTTTTTGCTTATGTGGTGCTGAGGAATCGAATCCAGGGCCTCAGGCATGCAAGGCAAGCGCTTTACCACTGAGCCACCTTCCCAGCCCAGGAGAAGATTTTAATATTCCCCCTACCCAATTTCTTTCTCTTTTTTTTTTTTTTGCCAGTCCTGGGCTTGAACTCAGGGCCTAGGTACTGTCCCTGAGCTTCTTTTGCTCAAGGCTAGCATTCTACCACTTGAGCCACAGTTGCCACTTCTGGCTGATACTGAGGAATCGAACCCAGGGCTTCATGCATACTAGGCAAGTACTTTACCATTAAGCTATATTCCCAGCCCCATACACCCACTCAATTTCTAATGATAGGATTTAAAGACTCATTTCTACTATGTTAAATAGTTACATACGGTTTAATTTTGCATGTATTAATATTACAATGAAAGAAATAGAATTCTAAAAATATATACATAATCAGGCATGGTACTGGTATGTAATTCAAGCACTTTGGAGGCAGAGCAGGAAGATCTAGAGTTTGATCTACTTTGGGCTACATATTAAGACCCAGTCTGGAGAGAAAAGAAAAGAGGAAAAGACAAAAATCTAGGTAGCACAGGGTTCTAACAGCTAAGGGAAATAAATTTTGTAAGTAGCTGTCAGGTAAAATAAAACACCAAGAAGCAAGTACTCAAAAGGGATAGGAGAAAAGGTAGACAGAAGGCGGGGGCGGGGGGAATGCAGTCAAGAATTCAGTGTATATCCTACAAATTAAGAAGATGAGGGAGGGAGTGGGAACAGGA